TTTTCTTGTTATCTTTCATATTGTGTGAAGGAATGCTTGAATTTGGCTGGATTCCTGCAAAAGTGATTCCTGAGTGACACACATAGAGCTTCTCTGCCCTCTAGTGTTCAATCAAGTGACACTACAATCCCTCAAAACTAATCAGAAGATGCATCTGTATCTTATACAGTATTTGTAATAATTAACTATTATTTAATTATAATAAATAATATAATTATGCAATATATTTCAATATTATATACTTCATATTTACATATTTCATACATTTTAAGCAAGAAGTGTTAGGTTAGGTTAGCAATGCAGCCAAACTGATGATTAAAACAAGTTTTAATATGATAGAGGGAGCTCAAAAGGCTACGCTCAAACTAAAAAGAAATAAAAAAATGTTTTTCTAAATAAAAAAAATAGCTGTTTTCTATGTGAAAATATAGTTTAAATGTAATTTATTTCTATGACACAAAGCTGAATTTTCAGCATCATTACTCCAGTCTTCAGAAATCATACTAATATGCTGATTAGCTTCTCAAAAAACATTTCTTATTATTATCAATGATGAAAACAGCTGTATTTTTGATTGACAGAAAACTAAAAACAACATTTATTTGAAATAGAAATATTTTGTCACATTAAATCTTTACTGTCACTTTTGATCAATTTAACACATCCTTGCTGAATAAAAGGAATAAATTCTTAAAATTAAAATTAAAATCTTAAAAGACCCCAAGCTTTTGAACGGTATTGTACACTATTTATACACAACACTACAGAATCAGCAACAGTGACACAATTTCAAATCCACCAATGAAACAGTGCTTCATTTCATAAATACACACTGGTTCAAATATGTGCTTCTGTTCGGCTGAAAGTCTGTATTTCCACAGATGTGAGGAAGCGTTATCATAACAGTGTTGGATTATTTCATGTCTTTAGATGCTGGATGATAAATAAACGAGTTTGCAAAGATTCAATAAGAGTTTAATAACTCTTTAGATTAATCAGTCTAAAGCATTTATGAATGATTCTAAAGTATTTTAGATTAATGTCCATTTAAGCCATCATTGAAATGCTAATGTTGACTGTTGTTTCAGTGAGAACACATAAATAATCCTGTAGTGCCACCTACTGGACACACACTGCAATACAGTAAACCAACCGATTATGCTCAGATTGCCTTTGTTTAAAAAAAAAGAGTGATTATCATGTTGCGTTGCTGACTGAGCGCTCTCACGCTGTCTTTACTGTAGATCAGTAATAATGCTGACTGTGATGGACTCACCGATGCCAGAGTTTGCTCCGGTGATCAGCACCACTCTGTCAGACAGATCTCGAGCATGCAGGATCTCCAGAGCCGTGCTGTTCCCATCGTAGCGTTTGGGTTTCACCTGCAGGTCCTCTATAGTGAAGGCCTGCCGAGGGTCAAAATACGTTGTGCGCTTGTTGATGTGGCTGATGAGAAGAAAGAAAGAAGAGAATGGAGAAACATTACTCTGTGTGTGTGTGTGTGTGTGTGTGTGTGTGTGTGTGAGTGTGAGTGTGAGTGTGTGTGAGAGAGAGAGAGAGTGTAAAAAATCTATTTTATATTTTTACACTAACAATATAATCAATATTCTGTTTATTAAAGCCAAGTATGAATTTCATCAAGTTCGTGTTTTTAAGCATTTTGCATTTATTCCAAAATATCAACTCAAAGCAGTAACAATTGAAACAATATGTTTTATTTGTGAACTTTTAACTATTTTTTAATTTGTTGGATCATTAGGCATCAAAGCTTAGTAAATATTGGTCACAAACATTGAGATTTACTTTAAATCTCACCAAGCTGTTTACTCAGTAAAAACTCCCACAGATCTTTTTTTTTCATGCCATTTTACACAGCATTTTTAAATGAGCAGTGCTTAGTGAGCTGAAAGTCTCTAATTGCTAAGGTGTAAAGGATATAAATAAAGTTTTCTATTTTAACTTATTATTATTAAACAGGTGTAGCGCAGACCACTGAATTGTCACATTTATTATTAATGATAATAAATATGCCAATTCTATCCATATATTATTAATATATTATATTATTCTATCCATATATTATTACTGATTTCATTTTGCTCATTATTTATGATCCGATCCTTATTAAAATTAATAATATTTATATTATAAATATTATTATTAAATGGACTTACTTCCTGACAAAATAATACATACTGTATAATATAATATAATATAATATAATATATAATATAATATAATACAACTAAAACTTCTAAAAACTACGTTTTGAAACAATTCATTTTATTTGTTTGTTAATTCATGTAGCAGTGTATTTATCATTGTAATATCGCTGCATTTCTCTTCTTGTGCACAAGCATAATTTTCCAGGAAGAAAGTATTGCAAATATTTAATATGCATATCTGCTAATACTTTATTTTATCAAATGTATTAAGATTAAATTATTATTAATTAGCCTTAAAAGCTAGGAGACATATACTAAAAGCTCAAGTTATGACTTAAGGGAAACTATAATATGTTATAATTGATTGCAGCAGAATATACTTCCTGCAAACACAGCCCATAAAGTGAAATTATGATGAGAAAATCATATTCACTGAACTCACTCAACATAGAAGATTTGGCCTTTATCATCGGTCTCCTGCTCCCATCCATATGGCAAAGCTAAAAAATAAATAGAATAAATAAAACATCAAATCAAATACATTCTGCAGTTTACTTATTCTTCATCACTGCATATCAAAACTCTTCACAAAGCTCTGCACACTTCACTCATGTTGCTTAATCATATTGAGAAAAATGAATCTCACAGTGAAAGTACTGTCCATAAGCCTGTGGCCATTATTAATAATCACTGTACCTCCAGCACAGCGTTTCTTCTTCCCAGTTTTGGGATGCTCCCATTGAGTCTTCATTTCCTCATGACTGAAATGAATTATACACTCGATGTGTCAATCATACTATAAATCACATCTTGGGTTGCTATACACTCCTCTTGCTTGCATTAATAGCACAAATGAAAAGTGTAAATGCACATGTTTATCTCGTGTGTGTGTGTGTGAGTGTGAGTGTGTGTGTGTGTGAGTGTGAGTGTGTGTGTGAGTGTGTGTGTGTGTGTGTGCGTGAGTGTGTGTGTGAGTGTGTTTGTGTGTGTGTGTGCGTGAGTGTTTTTGTGTGTGAGTGTTTAAATGTGTTTGTGTGTGAGAGTTTGAGTGTGTTTGTGTGTGTGTGTGTGTGTGAGAGTGTTTAAATGTGTTTGTGTGTGTGTGCGTGAGTGTTTGAGTGTGTTTGTGTGTGAGAGTGTTTAAATGTGTTTGTGTGTGTGTGCGTGAGTGTTTGAGTGTGTTTGTGTGTGAGAGTGTTTAAATGTGTTTGTGTGTGTGTGCGTGAGTGTTTGAGTGTGTTTGTGTGTGAGAGTGTTTAAATGTGTTTGTGTGTGAGTGTTTGAGTGTGTTTGTGTGTGTGTGTGTGTGTGTGCGTGAGTGTGT